GCTCACCCTGTTAACGCGAAGGCTGGACTCGAACCGCTGAAGCATCGACCGTTTCTGGCCGGCAACTTTCAGCGTCAATAGATATTTGCTTTCCAGAAGCACCAGCTTTGACATGTGTCTTCCTAAAACATGTTCCTTTTCTTTCTTAACAGAATGTTTCTTCTGTTGCTCTTCACTAATTTAAACAGCCATTGCACCATTTCTTCATCTCATCACATTAAGCTGCTTGTTAGTTCAAACCAGGAAGCTGCATAGAATTAGAGCTTAAGCACTTTAATTCCAGCCTCCCTGCTGTTACCATGATGAATCCATGTTGCCCAGAGGCACACAAGAATTTATTACTCCTGCTTGCCCGCACAAGCACCACTGCTGATCTAAGCCACTTCCACTGCATGAACTATAGTACACTTATTTCTATAGCAATATTATCTCAACAAGCCATGCAGCAGGATCAAGGGTGTAATATTTTTCATTCTACATACTGGAGGACACCTCATCCAATCCATATCTCTTCATTACTGAGGTTTCCAATTCACATTTAGGGCTGGCTGAGCTAAACAGCAACAATAGCACCATTTTTTTCTTGCTGCAGAGAGAATGCCAGGTCTGTCTTCATCTTGACCTCCAAATCTCCAGGAATTAAACAGTAGAGAACAGATTTTTGCCCCAGCCATGGCGGCATCTCTGTTCATACATTCCCTACTTCAAACTTGTGCCCTCCAAATATATTGGATTACAACTTAAATTACCACCAGCTGCTGGGCAAAATGACTAGGGATGATGGGGATTGTAGTCCAATGCATCTGGAGAACATTAGATTGGGCAAGACTCCATTAGCTCTCACCAAGTAATCACTTTCCCTGATCTAATCATAAAAAATATTCCTTGCTGCCTGCATCTATTCCTCAGTTGCTGCTCATGTGGATGTTAAAATGCTAGACACTCATGCAACTGACTGCAAGACATGTCTTAGACAAAAGTTTCCACGTCTCAAGTATCCTTTGCGCTATTTTTTAAATAAATTCCTTGCTGGCAGTTTTCTTTCAACAAATTCATTTTCTAGATGAATTTAAGGAACCTGAACTCCTGGTTATGAGCGGCAACTGGATAACATCTGGCTGAATTCATATATGTGACAATCAAGAACTTAGAAATATGTACATCAGAAGAGTACCGCACATTAAAGTTAATACTCAGACAGTTTCCATAAACAGGCCAATTTTATGGAGGCAGAAAAATGTGGCTGGAGATAAGAAACTGAAGTCTTTGGCATCAGACTTAAAAAATGAAAATCTTTGGGCTGGGTCCAGATTTCATAATATTCAGAAGAATCCTGAAGTTATCAGTGTTAACTTGAAGTCTCAGTGACTACAATGAGTAACAGTATTCTAAGTACTGGAATCCAATTCTTTATATTTTCCCAAGAAAATGGTAGTGGCATGTTACAATGAAATTTTCATGTTTCAACTCATTATTATAAACGGACTAATGGATTAAAGGGAATACTGAAAGGAATAGGAATGTTGCAAAACGGAACAACTGGTTTTGGGTGATTCATGCACAACCCCCCCCCCCAAAAAAACCCTGTGTCCCAGATGTTTTGTTCCAGACACAGGTAAAAACATAATTACTTTGGACAAAAAGTGTTTTGAGTTTCATTGTGGTTTAGTTGTTATTCAGAGTTATCTTGTCTCTTTCAGTTGGGGAGTTATCCTGCCTCTGGGCCAGTAAACAAGGGAGACTTGTTGCTACTGGCTTAGACTTGTTAGGGGAGGAGGTGATCTGAATTTAGGAGTGAAGGAGCCCATTGGATAGAGGGAACCATTCTGGATCTTACTGGCCTTGGGAAAGAGCGGAGAGCAAACTACAGAGGAAGAAAGTGCTACAAGGAGCCATTGGATTCAACCCTGCACTGGCTGCATCTGTTGTAGCAGTGGTGACTAATAATAAATATCCAGTTGCTTGCCTGCCTCTACATTCCCAATCCCATTTTATTTTATTATTACTTTTTAGATCAGTTTTGATTCAGTATAGTTGGGTGGATGGTGAGTTTTCTTAGATAGAAAGGGAAGAGAACACCACCCTTCCACCCTTTCCATTCCATTACAGGAAGTCCTCACTTACCGACTGCCTTGTGCAGTGACCACTTGAAGTTATGACAGTGCTAAAAAAATAACTTTGCAACCAATCCTTGCATTTACAATGATCACAATGCCCCACAGTCACATATCACTATTCGCATACTTTGCAGCCAGCTCGTGACAAGCAGACTTTATATAGAAGGTGGAAACAAAATTGTAAGTTGCAATCACATGATTTTTTGCTTAGCGATTGCAGTGTTTCACTTAACAACTGAAGGGGAAGTGAGGTTGTAAGCCCGTCATGGTGATGTGATTTTCCACTTAGCGACTGCAGTGCTTAGTGACCAAGTTGCCAGTCCCAATTGTAGTTGCTAAGTGAGGACTACCTTTTAAATCAGACCTCTTTGAATTGAAAAGAACATTTCCCCTTCTAACTCCCTTCCCCAAAAATACTGTAAAGCCTGTTTTGTTGGGGAAGTGAATCCTTCCAATTAGCTCTCTCTGTGTGTGTGTGTATGTGTATGTGTGTACCCTGGTTTTGATAGCACTTCTGCTTGCTAGATACAACATGCACCCTTTCTTCTTCTGATTTAAAAAGAGGCCAGACTTTAAGGCTTACCCTCACAACCATTCATGCCAGCCTTTTGAAGTAAAGGTCAAGCTACAGAGACAACAAGGATTCCAGGAATGCTGTTTATTGTTGTGGGGGTAGTATAACAGAATCCTGAAAGCCTGTCAGGGTTTCTCTCTGTTCCAACTTAAACTAAACAAAATCAAGATGGGATTATTTTGAGTTTCCTTCTCATACTTTCCTCTTAAGACTGTGTCATCTTTTTTTTAAAGTTTCACCTTAACTACCTGCTCATTCCCTCCTCAATCCTAGAGCCAGGTCTACATTTCTTCACCAGTTTGGGGGTGACTTCTCCAAACTATAAAACCCTACTGAACAAGCTGGTAGAGCTAAGATGTCTAATTAGAGGGCAGTACCAAGGTTTGCTGACCAAGATGGGGGAGAGGGTGACTTCTGGCATCATGGTGGTAAGGAGGAGAAAAAGCTCAGTACTGACAGAAGAATTCTTCCCTGAACCCCTCACTCCACCACATACATGGAGCAGGTGGTGGGGCTGACACTTCAGTCAGTCAGCAAACTCCCCTCTGTTATCAATCCAGGCGCTAAGAGCAAGGGAGTTATTCCTACTGGAATCCGAGTCCATAGCACATAGTGCTAGTGGTGACTCTCACACACCTCGATCACTAAAGCAGGCACATTTTGGGCAAGAGGGCAGCGGGGTATGGGAGCACCTCATGTGCATGGTGCTGCAGGGTTCTATTCTCTCTCCTCTCCTTTTCAACCACTGGGTGAGGTCATCTGCTCGTTTAGGGTTCAATATCATCAGTACACTGATGACACTCAATTATATCTCTCAGCTCTGGGCTGGCTAAGTGAAGCTGTCAAGGTTCTGTCCCAGTGCCTGGAGGCTGTGCGAGTCAGTCCTATCAAGACCAAGTGGCTGTGGGTGTTTGGACTGCCCAGATCTGGGGATATTCCAACTTTGACCTTGGATGGGGTGACACATCTCCATTCAAGGATGGTGCACAATTTTGGGGGTCTTCCTGGACTCACAGCTCCTGCTCAATGAGCAGGTGAGAGCCGTGGCCAGGAAGGCTTTTGCCCAACTTCATCTGGTGTGCCAGTTACTCTCTTTCCTAAACTGGGGGGCCCTTTAGACAGTCACTCATGCTCTGGTCACTTCATGGCTTGACTACTGCAACACGCTCTACATGGGTCTGCCCTTGAAGATCACCTGGAAGCTTCAGTTGGTCCAGAATGCAGCAGCACAGGCAGTGATGGACATGCCTTGGTATGCCCATGTAACACCTCTGCTTCACAAACTGCACTGGTTGCCAGTTTACTTCCATGTGCAATTCAAGGTGCTAGTTGCCACCTATAAAGCCCTACATGGCATAGGGCCTGGTTACTTGATGGACTGCCTGTCTCCTGGCTGGTTCAATCTAGCAGGATTGGTGTGCCCTGGGTTCCATTGGTTAAACAATGCCATCTGTCTGAACCCTGGAAGTGCACCTTCTCTGTAGCAGCACCTGCCCTCTAGAATGAGGTTCTCCCTGAAATTTGAATAGCTCCCACTCTACTGGTATTTTGAAGAGCCCTAAAGATCTGGATCTTTGCCCAGACCTTTGGTGAGGATGACTGACACCCCTTTCTTCCTTTCTGTTCCCCTCCAGGTTTCTTTTCTTTCTATTGTTGTTCTGTCTTGTGCTGCTTTTTGTGTTTTTTGTATTGTTTGTTGCTCTTAAATGTTTTTAACAATTGTAAACCACCCAGAGTTGCTGCTAGTTGGGCGGCATATAAATTTAATAAATTATTTATTGTTATATTTAATGTCAATGCACTTTCAATGCCCTGTACTTATGGCTTGCTGGTAAAATTAAGGGGTTTTTTTTGTTTGTTTGTTTTTGGTGCCTTCGAGTCAGTTTTTGACTCCTGGCAATTGCCTGGACAACTCCCTGCAGTTTTCTTGGAGAGGTTTTTCGGAAGTGGTTTGCCATTGTCTCCTTCCTAGGGCAGAGATTAAGGTTAACAATGGTTAAATAGCAAGTTCACTGCACATTTGATTAGAGCCAATTGCAGAGGAAACTATTGCAGGTGAAATTATTCCTTTCTTCTTTCCCAAAGATTTTTAGAAGTTGACTAAAATTTACTATTATTTTTTATCAAGGAAAACATGTCAACACAAGAGAGAATTTTACTGATTCTGAAATATGAGCTATAGCTTTCCTCACTTCTTAGCAACCCATCGTCCTTCTTGGAAATACTTAACCTTTTCTAAGAGTCACGGTGCCACAGACTTCTGGAAAGGATCTTTGTGACCTCTCATTGTACCCAATGGACTGTAATATTTGTCCCACTGTTCTATTTTTTGCCACTGAGACAAGTTTGCCTCAGAAAACAGCAAATCAACGTTTTTGTTTTTGTTTTAATTTCTTGGCTACCTCAGAATCACCCAAAACCTTAGTTCTGTTGTGGTCACCCAACCTCAATTAAATACTTTTTCATCCCATCTGCTGTTGTTGATCTAGAGCACCCGGTGGCTCACTTCAGAATGTTTTGTGGACAGCATTAGGAAAATGTGCAGGAAAAGTAGTTCTAAACTAGTCTTCCCTTGTTGACCCTAGCCAGGGTAAGGATGCTGGGATTCACAAACAATCTCCTTTTTGGGAGAGCTAAAGGCACCCCACATGAAGATGAACAGCCTATTAGCTTACACTTACCTAACAGGAGTAGCTTAACTGTCTTTGCCTCTTTATCTCCATCTTCTTGAAGCTTTTTTTCCAGCTCCTTGGACCTCTTGGCAAGTTCTTTATCTTCAGCACTTGCTCCACTCCCCATCTCACCTTCTTCTGCTCTCTCTTTCTTTTCCACTAGTTTGTTCGGCTCCTCCAACTCTGTTTTTTCCAACTCTTCAGATTGCTGGTCCCAGCTATTTCTATCTCCAGGGTGATAAAGAAGGTGCTTCTTAGATATGTTGTGCTTTCAAGCGGTAGGCTGACAGATTATTGGTCCATGACTGTTAAGAAGGTAGCATCAAGACAAAGCATTTGTCTTGCCTTGTGCTTTTTCTCTCCTTCTCCCTCCCACTCTTATGACTTCATGGATAACCCAGTTTTGTTACAATGGGTCTGAGGACTTTTTATCTCATCACGTGTCCTGCAAAATCCAATTATAAAAAGCCAAGATGTCAAAGATTAATGCCAGGAAAAGAAGAACTTAGACCAACATGGGGGAGTTGCGCAGTATGGAGTAGACAATTATGTAATGTGAGAATTTGTTAGCAGCCCCCTTCCCCTTCATGCAAACCAAGGACCACTGTTACTGACAAAAAGTACTCCTGGGTCTCTTAGAGAAAGGACTATTAGGGCATGTCCTAACACTTAAAAGTATCAGTTCATGGTAAAAATATATACTAATATCCCAATGCAATCCTATAAACTGAACAGCAATTATCCCCAGCAGGTGCTGTGTAGGGACTCTATAGATCACATCAGTGAAAGCATGTGTAATTGGATGCAGTTATCTACATTCTCTTGCTGATCTCTCCCATGTAGTCAGGAAGTCTATCAGGTTCCAACAGCTTTTGAACAGACTGGCTCATGGGCCTGATTTTGTCATTCTGGTGTGGGTGAAAAAAATTAGCTTATTCAGAGATTCCAGGACCAACATAGGAGTGATGGGGGCGTTTGATTTTTGTTTGCTTTGTCCTTTGCATAGGAAAGGAATATGACTGCTTAATTTTAGAAGTAAACATTGGACTTTGAAATGGGATGGAACCTGTTTTGTACCTCTGTGTTTCTGATCATAACAGCTGGCTGAGTAGGCTGGGATAAAGGGTAGAATTCCCTCTCCCACCGCAAAAAAGGAACATTTTTTTCCTGACTTCTTCCTTGCAGTGTTCTTCTTTATGAGAAACAAAATAATTCAAAAGTTGGGTAATATGTGAGTTTAATCCTTAAATGCTGTCAAGAAGAATTGCACAGACTTATTATGTTTTTCTCCATCCTGCCACTTAAGCTCTTTAAAGTGTTATCTTTGTTCAGCAAATCCTCCCATTCCCCTCCAACTCCTCCACCCCCCAAACAATCCTTACAATTTGCAACAGCAAATTCTTAAATTGAGGGGGGGGGGCAGCTCTAGAGGGATCAGTGGTTCTCTGGATCAGAGGAATGCCTCCCAGAGGAAGCCTTCTTCAATTTCTCAGCAGGTTGTGAGACGTTCTCCTCTGCCCCTTTTCATCACAGTCTGATAAAAAAAGGACATTTAATGAATTCCTCTTATTGGGATTCAAAAGAGCTATCAGATGAAAAGGACTTTTATTTACATTTTCTTGGAAAAGCAAAATAGAAACTGAGGTAATGGTAACACTCAAAACTTACGGGGAGCAAAAACTGCAGATGTTTTTATCTTTGGTGCCCTCAGTTTGATATCACGTGTCGGCACAATTCCTGGTGAGTTGGGGTTGGTGAAATTCCATCTCACAAAAAATTCAGCTAAATCAGACTTCAGTTGGTTAACCTTTTCTACACCACAGAAACATAAAACACAAAAACACTGAAAGATTCCGTCACATTTGCTTTCCTATAAAGGGATCTGCAGGGAGCCATCAAAAAAGTCACCACCATCTTGACTTTTTGACCTGCCCCTTGCAGATGCTTGTTTCCTATGTTATAAAATCTCTCTCTCTCTCTCTCTCTCTCTCTCTCCCTCTCTCTCTCGTATACTATCCAGTATGATCATTTTATAATTTCTTAAATTTGGTTTTACATTTGCCTTCATCTTATTATGCCTTCTTTTAAGCCAAAAGAACATTTCAGCAAAGAAGTGTTATTTATAGGCCAAAGCAAACATGATGTTATATGTGTCTTTATAATTTTGTTAAAATTGACTAGCAACAGCAGTTCTCCAGATGCACCTGGAGATGTTAGGGTCCTTGAATCTTTACTGTAACCTTTGCATGAAAATCCCCCATGCAAACTGCTTTGAGGGATGTCTGCCGGTGCAAACACCAGCCAGCTTCAGAGGAGAGGCTTTCCCAAGAATCCTAGAGTCACAGGGGAGGAAAGGGTTATATTTTCTTTTCAATTCCAGATCTAGTTTAGCCTTAAGCCTCTCTAGCTGCCATATTTTTTCCATATAAGGGCATTCTTCCCTTTGGTAATATTAACTCAGTAGTGGCTGTTCTTCCAAAGAGTCACCTGACTGTCTGCTATTTATCTTGCAATGAATCTGGGTTTTCAATCAGTTGTGCAGATGCTTTAGAGGCGGGTCACAGATGTCTGGTAGAGTCCATCATCATATCACATTAATCATGGCATCATCAGGCAAATGACACAAATTATGTAATTTGCATCAGTCAAAAACAATACGAACAATGCACAATAGTCATCGGCATGATGTTGTGACGTACATGATATCACATACTCCCCTTGTCCCCCCTCATGGATGGGATCAGGTGCCTTGCTAATACTCCATTACCCAAGATAACCTTTGTCTAATGAAGTGTGAGGTTATGGTGCCAACAGACTTGCCTGATACAGTAAAATGCTTGTTTTGTGTCACTATTACACATGAGTTCCAGCAGTTATGAGCTTGTCCATCCCCATGGAAGCTGCGTTTGAATTTGTCGCCATGTTGCAAGTCTGCCTGGTCAGTTATTTCTTTCCTGCCCTGTGTATGCCAGAATACAAACAGCCACATGGAGTAGCTCCTTCTTTGTTATTAATTCCTTTGTTCTGTGACTAAAGGAATGATTAAGATGCCCTCAAGGCAAGCTTGATTCCTGGTGATCATAGGGGCACATCCCTGCAGTTCCTTAGGCAATAATAATATGAGAATTGTTGGTCCTGGTTTTCTTTTGGGATTTTTTTTTTTTTTACTTTCCAGCCTAGCCAGCCTTGGAATTCCCTGGTGGTCTCTGATCTAGGCACTAACCAGGTCTGACCAAAGGTCAGCCAAATGTTACCACCTGCTGAGCCTCTCCCATAACTAAGGCCTGTTAAAATGAGTTCCAGGTAGCCTTCCTATACAATGGAAATGGCCATTTTAACTTTCCTCAAAGGAAAACAAAAATAGCCAAAAGCTGGGTTCATACCATACACTAAACCATAATGTGGTTTGTTTGTGGCTTTGCATATGATATGAACCTCGCCAGTTATTGTTTATTCAACAGACTGTTGATTATGATACCAAGGTATTGTGCAGTGTAAACACAGCCAAAGTTGGGAACTGCTGCCTGAAGGTCATGGAGTCAGATCACATGAGCCAACAACATCAGGATTTCTATAGTTGAGAAGGAAAAGGATTTCTGCCTGTGAAGCACTGGGAGAGAAAGACTGAGGCTCCGCAGATGCAGGGCCTCTGCTGTAAGGATGAGAACAAGCACGCTTAGAGAATGCAGTTCTGCTTCACAGCTTCCAAAGGGAGAGTCTTCCTTTCACTTTGAACAGTGGTTAGCATATGCATCATGGTTCTGAGCAGGGATGGATAAGAAATTAGTCCATCCAAATTTGTATATGAATACACACACACATACTTCCCAGACTTGAAAAACTGGAATGCCTGTGCATAATCTTTTTTTTCCAAATTTTGAGATAAAGTTTATAGTAATAATAATGACAATGAAAGATTGATTGTGTGCCATTAAGTCAGTGTCAGCTCTTAGCAACCCCATTGATAGGCCTTCTTCAAGATGTTCTGTCCCCAACTTGGTCTTCCAGGTCTTCCAAAGGTGCATCATCTCTGCGGTAATTGAGTCCGACCACCTTGCTGCTAGTCATCCTCTTTTTCTCTTTCCTTCTACCTTCTCCAGCATTACAGACTTCTTAGGAGAGATTGGTCTTTGCATAATGTGTCCAAAATATGATAATTTGAATCTGCTCATTTGTGCCTCAAATGATTTTTCCTATGATCCATATTTTGTTTTCTTGGTTATCCATGGTATTTTCAGGAGTCTTCTCCAACACCAATGTTTAAAAGTGTCAATACTCTTTCTATCCTGTTTCCTGCATCTTCAAAGTCCTAGTAGTGGTAGTAGTAGTAGTAGTAGTAGTAATAATAATAATAATAATAATAATAGCAAAACCCCAAATGTATATTGGGGGAAAGTTTGCATAGTGATGGGGAGGATATACACAGATGTATTTGAGAAAATTACTTGGAAAAATGCATATGAATTATGCAAATGGTCATGTTTTTGCTTTTAATTTGAACTGAACACTTTTGCCCATCCCAAATTAAACGCTTTAATAGGAACAAGTGGGCTTTGAAGAAGCAGGACAGAAAGAATATTGACACTTTTGAACTTTGGTGTTGGAAAAGACTCCTGAGAATATTGTGGACAGCCAAGAAAACAAACACATGGATCGCTGAATAAATCAACCCTGAATTTTCACTTGAAGCACAAATGACCAGGCTCAAATTAACCTACTTCTTTCATTATGCAAAGACCAAGCTCTCCAGAGAAGGTTCTAATGCTGGGAAAGGTGGAAGGAAAGAGAAGAAGAAGATGACCAGCAGCAAGGAGGATGGACTCAGTTACAGTGGTGATTAAGTGCACTGTTGGAAGACCTGAAAGACTGGTTAAGGAGAGATTGTCATGGAGAAAATCTATCTATGTGGTCACTAAAAGTTGACACTGACTTGGTGGCACATAATCAATCAAACCAATCAATGGGAACAAGAAGGAGCTAGTTTCTCAAGATCTTTTGCACAAACAATATTGTGCACAGTAACTGTAGTTTCCTTATGGTGCTTTAATTTATATAACTTCCCTCAAATTGTATTTCTGCTGCACAACTGTATTCCAACTACCTACTGCACTTGTATGGGAAAATGCA